TTAATAGTTTTCTGTCTGGTAAGAACTCACTGTGACGAACTGGGACTGTTCTTACTGTGGTCTGTGAATGCTGACAGGGGAGTGTGGCTGGGATAGTCTGCATTGCGGGATGGGAGTCTGCCCGAAGGCGCATACCTGAGCGTGTAACATGAGAACCCAGGAAGGGGTTAGAGGCCAGGTGACACCTTTGCCTGGATGTGACGAACTGGGACTGTTCTTACTGTGGTCTGGGAATGCTGACAGGGAAGTGTGGCTAGGATAGTCTGCATTGCGGGATGTGAAACTGACCGAGGGAGAATACCTGAGCGTGTAACATGAGAACCCAGGAAGGGGTTAGAGGCCAGGTGACACCTTTGCCTGGGTGTGACGAACTGGGACTGTTCTTACTGTGGTCTGTGAATGCTGACAGGGGAGTGTGGCTGGGATAGTCTGCATTGCGGGATGGGAGTCTGCCCGAAGGCGCATACCTGAGCGTGTAACATGAGAACCCAGGAAGGGGTTGAAGGCCAGGTGATACCTTGGCCCGGGAAACTGAACAAAGGCTGTGGGAGGGGTCGCTGAAGGCAGAGGCTTGGAAGCTGGGTGGTGAGATGGTGGGGAGGGAGAGATTGCTCTGACCTTCCAAGGGGGGCTGGGATGCCCTGGGACCCCAAGATGGACCTAACTGAGGGGGGTCCCGTTGTCTGTGCCTGCAAGACCTGTCTTGGACTGTGTTCCTGTCATCCAAATAAACCTTCTGCTTTACTGGCTGGCTGAGAGTCATGGTGAATCGCAGGAGGCCGGGGGTGCAGGGCCCTGAGTCCCCCAATACTTCGTGACAGGGGCACAGGGCAGGATTGTGGGGCGGCGGGAGCCTGCTGACCCTTGGCTGCCGCCCTTCCCCACAGGCTGCTGAACGAAGCCACCGGCTCGCTGCTGGACGACGTGCAACTGGTGAACACCCTGCAGACCTCCAAGGTGACGGCCAACGAGGTGACAGAGCAGCTGGAGACCAGCGAGACCACGGAGATCAAGATCGACACCGCCCGCGAGGTGAGGGGGGCCGGGGCTGCGTCCGGCGCCCCCCGCCCATCTTCCCCATGGGCTTCAGCCTGGCTCCCTGGCAATGCCAGCAATGCCCAGGGAATGGGGGCTCTGCTCCGGGCCCAGATGGCTCGGCAGGAGAGGCCATCCGCACTGCAGTTAGACGCCCGCTGCTGGCCCGTGCCAGTGGAGACGTGCCGAGCCCCGGGAGGGCGTGTGGGTGCGGTGTGGGCGCCCTCTGGGAGTCCTGCCTGAGGCTGACGGGCGCCGTGCTCCCGCCCTTCCCCCCAGGCCTACAGGCCCTGCGCCCAGAGAGCCTCCATCCTCTTCTTCGTGCTCAATGACATGGGCCGCATCGACCCCATGTACCAGTTCTCCCTGGACGCCTACATCGACCTGTTCAACATGAGCATCCACAAGAGCCACCGCAGCGCCAAACTGGAGGAGCGGATCCGCTACCTGAACGAGTACCACACCTACGCCGTGTACAGGTACGGGGCCCCGCGCCGGGGACGGGGACCGCCCCCTACGCCGTGTACAGGTACGGGGCCCCGCGCCGGGGACGGGAACCGCCCCCTACGCCGTGTACAGGTACGGGACCCCGCGCCGGGGACGGGAACCGCCCCCTATGCCGGGGACGGGGACCTCCCACGCCGGGACGGGGACCTCCCCCTATGCCGTGTACAGGTACGGGGCCCCGCGCCGGGGACGGGGACCTCCCACGCCGGGGACGGGGACCTCCCCCTATGTCGTGTACAGGTACGGGGCCCCGCGCCGGGGGTGGGGACCTCCCACGCTGGGGACGGGGACTGCCCCTTACGCCGTGTACAGGTACGGGGCCCCACGCCGGGGTCAGGGGACCTCCCACACCGGGTACAGATACCCTACGCTGGGTACGGGGAGCCCCCCATGCCGGGTATGGGTACGGGGATCCCCCCACGCCAGGTACAGGGACCCCCACACCGGGTACGGGGAGCCCCCTACGCCGGGTATGGGTACAGGGACCCCGCCATGCTGGGTACAGGGACCCCCCCCATGCCAGGTATGGGTATGGGGACACCGGGTACAGGTACGGAGATCTCCCTTCCTACACTGCGTACAGGTCCCGGGGCATGGGGAGCTACAGACAGAGATGCGGGGGACGGGAGACTGGCCTCCAGCCCGGCCCGCGGTGGGTGCCGAGGGGAGACCATCCTGCCCCATGGCCAGCACCCCCTGCTCTCCCCGCAGGTTCACCTGCCGCGGCCTCTTTGAGCGCCACAAGCTGCTCTTCAGCTTCCAGATGTGCGCCAAGATCCTGGAGACCTCGGGCAACCTCAAGATGGACGAGTACAACTTCTTCCTGCGAGGGGGCGTGGTGAGTGCGGCAGCGAGCTGCTCCCCAGCAGGGGGCACCCTCCTCTCCTTCCTGCTGGGGAACGGGGCTGGAGCCCCCTCTGCTCCCTACGGAGCCTCCCTTGAAATGCAGCTGTTAGAGCAACCCCAGCACAGCTGCCACCAGCATGGGGTGGGCTGACCTCAATGCCCCAGGGTGGCGCTAGGGGGCGCTGTGGGGCAGGGAGCAGGGCAGGGGGCTCAGCAGGGGGCGCTCTCCCCTGGCAGGGGGCTGTCCCCAGGGTGGCGCTAGGGGACGCTGTGGGGCAGGGAGCAGGGCAGGGGGCTCAGCAGGGGGCGCTCTCCCCTGGCAGGGGGCTGTCCCCAGGGTGGCGCTA